GAGAGAGAGAGAGATTGCTCAACTTGTGAGTTGGAGAACCTAGGAGACAGATTACCCAACTGTGAGTTGGAGGGCCTCTACTAGGTCTAGCAGCGAGACAAAAGGCTGAAAGTCCTTAGTTCCTTTATTTCCTTGACGGTGCTCGAGGGAATTTTCTCCTTAATTGATCAACTAGCGTGATCGTCAAGTTACTGTTGCAGAGTCAGTCTTGGATCAGCCTAGGTTGTGAGCCTCGACAATCACGATGCTGGACGTTGTAGAGGTTGTGGTCGAAGGTTAGGTGCTTAACACTGGCATAGGTTGGCTGAAACCGTGAATGAGTTGACAGAATCAGTGGCTATGTTGAAGCACGATTGAGATCAGCATAGATAAGGTCTAAATTTCTAAGGGCTCAGTTGATAGAGCCATCTTTTGCGGTTTCTTTGGTGAACAACATAACTCGCAGTCTGAGTTGCTGACAAAGGGATCAGATTTGGCTCTGATCATAGTGTCAGGTTGTATGCATGCGATGCTGAGATGACGACTCAGTTATAAAAGTGGACCTACATGAATTTTCGGGTAGCCTTTCCCTCAAGAATTATTGGACTAGCGAAGTGCGGTGGAGCGATTCTTTGAATGGAAGAACTTCTCAGATTCAAAGAAAGTAAAGCTAGTTGCAATCAATCTACAGGGGGCTTGCATCTGTTTGGTTGGGATTCAGTTCAAGATGTGAGGTTTTGGAAGGAGAAAGATAAGAGTAGCTCTTGGATGAAAATGAGGGTGAAGTTGCATGGCCATTTTCTTCCTCCAAACATTGTGCAAACTGTGTACAGACAGTTCCATCTGTTGCAGCAAGATTCCAGGTCTGTTCCTGAGTGTACTAAAGTCTTTCATCTCTTGTCCTTGCGCTCGGGATTGGCTGAGATGGAGGACCAGCAAGTGGCAAGGTATGTTTCGGGGTTACAACTTCAAATCAAAGATGAACTTTCTTAGCAACACTTGCCCCAATTAGAAGTGATGTATCAGGTGGTGTTGCGAGCTGCAGAAAAGCCACATGGAGGCGCTAGCTGGAGATCAAGCGTGGGGACATCACTAACCAAGAGGATGATGCCACCAATGCTGGGCGTTGCTGGCTTGAGTACGGAGAGAGCTTCGGGTGATCAATCAGGAACTGGTCTTGCAGTCAGCGCTTGTGAGTACAAGTGAATGAGCAGTCCTATGTTCGTTGTTTTTGATGTAATGAGGTTAGCCCTAGACGATGCAGGAAAATTTGAGGGAATAGTAACATCGGCAAGAAACAAAGCCGACACATGCATAATTTAAAGAAACCTAAGGTTTCTTCTCTATACCCCATGCTACGATTCTAAAAGCCTAAGTTTATTTCTTTTTCAATTTCTAAAATCATGTGAAATGACCCTTTTAAGGTCCCACACACCTCTTATATATTATTATTTAATGTTCCAAATACAAAAAATGTCCAAACAAATAATACATTGACACATATATCCTAACTTAAACTTAAAATTCGTAATGACAGTTTTACCTTTGTGAATAGTACTTATGAACAGTACTCGTGAACAATAATTGTGAATAGTACTCATGAACAGTAATTGTGAATAGTACTCATAAAGTAAATAAAAAACATAAAAAAACTAAAATCTCTAAAAACCCCTAGAAATAAACCCTAAAACTAAAACTATTAACATACATCCTTTAAAATTGAATAAAAATTAAAATTAAGAATAGTTTTTTGCCTCCATCATTCTCCCCTGGTTGGAGAAAACTCGTCTTCGAGTTTTGAGGTGTGTTAAGATGAATTCAGCATCAAAACCACCGTCAACCTTTTATTTTCCTTGTCAACTCAAATATTATTCGTGGTAAAAAGAATTCCTGATGAAACGGATCCTGATATGCATATTTAGGAATCAAGGCAAATTTATCAAATATGGATATCCTTGAACTCCCATTGAAAATTGCGTAGGAAAATTCAAACCCAACTTTTTGGTCTTTAGAGATTTTCTCGACATCTATTTCCTTTCTTAAATGAAATTAGGGCCACAATTTGCAGTTTGTTAGTTGACCACATTTCCACTGCGATACTCCAATTCCAATACTCTAAATTTCTTGAATGCTCTACCTCTTCGCTATTAATGAGATCTTCAAAGGCCATGATTTGGATCAGTCCTCTTGCTGCCTTCCCTCCATGTTCTTCACCCTCTTCCAAAATGTCTTCATCATCATCTTGATCCTTGTTATAGATTGGATCTCCTAAGAGATCTTGTTGTTCATCTGAGTATATATCGAAGATTGGTGGTGAACCTCAATCTACAACTTGTTGATTTTAGATACAACTTGCATCAAGATCAATAATCTCATCCTTCGAATTGAAAATCCTAGAGTGATTTTCCCCACGTTTAGGTCTTTTATCGCTATCCTCATCATTCAACTCCACACGCGATGCGGAGTGCGAAAGTGAAAAGGCTTGTACTTGAGATCCTCTTGGGCTGAAAGATTACCGTCTTGTCTTTCAAGTTCCTCAATTCTCTCATCTCTAGGATCACGGAGTGGATTTGTGAAACCCCCCCTTGCACGACCCCTTCTTGCTGCCATTGGATCGCTGAAATCTCAAACCCTAGGCAAATGATCAACAAAAACTTGCCGAAAGCAGCAAGATCAAGGCTTTGTTGTTGATCTAGGGCACAAAACTCGATTCTGCTGTATTGTTTGTACATTGTTATAGTTTTGGGTACACTGCTACAGTACCTTTTGTGTAGAATTGGGTTATGATACCAAATTTACATAAGGAAGTTTGAGAAAGCAATAAAATCAGCAAGAAACGAAGCCAAACACAAGCATAATTCACATAAACCTAGGGTTTCTTCTCCATACCCCAAGCTAAGGTTCCAAAAGCCTAATCTTTTTTCTCTTTCAATTTCTAAAAATCATGTAAAATGATCCCCTCAAGGCCCACACACCTCTTATATATTATAATCTAATGCTATAAGTATAAAAAGTGTCCAAATAAATAATACATTGGTTCATATATTCTAACTTAAACTTAAAATTCATAATGATAGTTTTACCCTTGTGAACAATACCCATGAACAGTAATTGTGAATAATACTCATGAAGTAAATAAAAAATAAAAACCCTAGAATCCCTAAAAAACAAAAAAACCTTAGAAATAAACCCTAAAACTAAAACTACAATATACATCCTTCAAAATTGAATAAAAATTAAAAATAAGAATAATGTGCCCTCCATCAATAGAGCGTGTAAGTGCCCATCTGTTTGCTGTTTAATTGCATGCTAATCTTGCAAAAGCCGATGAAGACGGTGAGATAGAAGAGGTGGCAGTTGTTGATTTGGGTGAGCTGTTGTACAATCAGGAGAATGGTCAAGTTGAACAACGTGAAGAGATGCTTGTGGACCAAGGAGAGATGTTGGTGGTTTGAAAGGTTCTTTCTATTCCAAAAGTCGCACTAGATTATAGCTGGTTTGATATTCCATTAAGAATAAAAGATATTTCTTTCGTTTGTGATAGTGGATCTGGTGAACCAATTCGTTGAGTGAAGTAAAAGATCGAAGAAAACTTATGGACCGGAGGAAATAGATCTATTTATCTACGATCGAATTACATTTGTTGAATACACCATTGTCAATATGAATGTTGGGAGTACTATCAAGATACTCAGGCAAGTATGAATAAGGCCATGGATGGTTGGTACTTAATATATTTTATACACGTTGTGGTGGGCGAGTTACAACTTGATTATCGGTAGAGGTAATTGTGGGAACATGGTGTCGAAGGAGGCTATCAACAAATTGCAAT